TTTTCCTATAAATTCTTATGTAAAAATTTTATCGTCCATTATGGCCCTGCCCTAAACCCGGAGGTCATGATTTGAAAAAAATAGAATTTACACTACCTGAGGATGAATCCACACGAGTTTCATCTTTCCTGGCCCAGTGGTTCTTGAGAAGAAGATTTTTAAAAGATGCCATTAATTTTCACTAATTTGTAATTATCTCCCCTTGGAAGAGGGCGTGGATCTTCATTTTAACAAACTTGAATTCCCTTTACCAAAGAATACTTTGTGCCAAGTTTGGTTGAAATTGGCCCAGTAGTTCTGGAGAAGAAGATGAAATTGTGAAAAGTTTACGACAACAACGACGACAGACAATTTTCGATCAGAAAAGCTCACTTGAGCCTTCGGCTCAGGTGAGCTAAAAATTCAAACATTGTTTCATTTCTTACCATGTCAACCAGTCTCCCTAACAAAAAATATTATGCTTCTTGTCAGTTTGTCTCTATATATAATCAATACCCATCTATTTTCGCATAGTGTTCTAAGAGTTTATAAGGCATAAGCATTCTATGCCGTAATAGTGCACGGCTTCTTTTTCTAAAGAAAATCTGACATCACCCATGGCAGGGATCGAACTCACGATCACGAGATTGTCAGTCCGACGTGCTGCTACCGACATGACGCCATTATCAAACACTTATTTTAATGTATATAAACCTAGTTTCAAATATTTGACACTTAAAAGAAAACAAAACATTTTTTAAAAAAATAGATTCTTACAATTTTTTATCCCTTTATTAAATTAAGGTTCTTTGAAATTTTCTGTACATTATACCTAACTGCATGAAACACTCAAAATTATGACGTAATTGTTTCACATCGTGACGTTATAATAGGGGTATACCAGCATGTTAGTAAGAGGTGATGAAACGTTGGAAATCGAAAAAAATATTTTTGCTTTTATACAACAGTCAGCATAATAATAACAAAAGTGTTGTGGTTTGCATGCACCTCCGGCTTGTGCACCATGTATCAAACCCCAACTACTTTTTAGGCATAGTGCATGCAAAGCAATTTATTACTATTACATAAATCAAACGCTTGAATCCATACTTTTCAAAACTTATTTCCCTTGGTAGCCATCTTTGAGGAAGAACCAGTAGAACCCTCACAGTAGGCTTTTTAGTTTTCTGGTTTGTATTTTTGTCATTTGACTAGAAAAAATTTTTGCTTCTATACTGATTGCCACAGGATAAGGCTACCCATACATTGAAGGAAAAGAATTTAAACACAATTGATGCATCCGAGCACGCCCATATATTTGGTAGGAAAAAGTCGTTTTTTCCCTTTTGACCTTTTGGTTGACCCCGCAAAAGGACACAACTTTTGCAAAGTATGGATTAGATTATTCACCAAAGTAATGTGGAATAGCCTATTAATGTCCCCAATTCAACATTCCAAAATTATACATGTTGATACAAATTAATAAGGAGAATATTAGTGATCCTGATATGATATCTACACTTTTAACCTAAAATGACATTGAACATTGCCAGAATGACCTTGGATCAAGGCAACAACATACCTAAAGGCCATGTGTAATATTTTTGTGAAAAATGAACGTTCAATGTTTTTTCAATTAAAGAGCTGTGAACAAGAAATGAACTTGACACTTTTCCTGGAAATGGCCTTGACCATGCCAAAATGATCTTGAATAAATATGAAGACACACCCCTGAGTCATTAGCAATATTTGTGTCAGGTATGGGCTTCCAGTGTTTAATCATTTCAAGATGTAGACAGGACACAATGTATACATTTTTTAAATAGATCATGAACCTGATCAAATAACCTTTCATCAAAATCATGACATACTTTAAGGTCATAATCAATTTTTCTATGAAGTATGGACATCCAATACTTTCCATTAGAAAATTACCGTAGACCTGGCACTAATTTAACATTTTTTCTGCCAGTGATTTTCACTTGCTAGAATTATCATGGGTCAAGACCATGACACACTCTTTGTTCACATGCAATCTATGCCAAAAATGAACTTCGAAATGGCTCTCCATTACAAAGTTATGTGGCCTGGACACATATTTTAAACCTTTTGTTGAAGTGACCTTGATCTTACTGGAATGACCTTGGGTTAAGGTTTGAACATACCAATGGGGCATAAATCTTTTTGTGAAGCATGAGCTCACAATAATTCGAAATGTGGTCAGGACACGAATTATACATTTATCTGTAAAGGACCTTGAACTTGATCATCTGACATTGAATGAAGAACATGATACACCTCTTAAACAATCTCTGTATGAAGTATGAATATCCGATGTGCCTCCATAAGAAAGTTATAGACCAGACAAATTTTACACTATTTACTGCCAACGACCTTGAACTAGCTGAAATGACCTTGGGTGAAACGTTAAAGTCAAAATTCAAGCTCAGATTATAAACAATCGTTTTTTCAAGAAGGAACTTTCAATCTTTCTCCATTACAAAATTATGACCCCATCATGATTGCACAGACAAATGAACACAGAAACAGACAGACAAAGTGATTCCTTTATACTCCAGTCTTTGTTTGCTGGGTTATAACTATGGCACAAATGATGTGTTATCATGGCAGCCGATATTTTCATTGTTAGAATAATATTGCTAAAACTTCTTTTCATAAGGTAAACTATTTTTATTGTTTCTTTATCACTGCCGATAAAGTTAAGTCATGTAACTCCCATAATAAGATAATACTGGGCGTTTTTCTGTATATAAAATGTATGCCGAGTTTAATCATGGTTACCACCTATATAGAGATCTATTCCAAATACTTTCTTTACATAATAAGTGGCAACAAGGTTTATTGTTTTTATTTTTATATGTAAATGGCCAATTTGGTTTTTTGAGTGCTTGTGAAGGGTCAATAAAGATTCAAAATAGCCGAAAATCTAAATTTTGTTGAAATCAACATGTCTGTTACCATGACAACCAAGGTACATAGCAACCAGACTTTGTTTGATTTAAAATTCTGTTGTCAAACTATTATAATTGTAACTATTATAACAAGCAAAGTTTCATGATAATCGGTGACCTTGCGTGCCAAAAAAAGTTCAAGTTGTTACAGAAAATTGTTAGTTACTGTAACTCTCCATAACATATTTTGGTTCTTATGTGCTCAAATGTTGTTACCCTGGGTTAAAAGTATAAAAATGGGCTAAATTATAAAAATGTACTTTGCTAAGAAATCTATTACAAAATCAAATTTGATTAATCGCAATATGCTACCAAACTGTGGATTAATATTTTATAATTGTTCATAAATGTTTGCCGAAAGTGACTTTATTTGCTTTGTTGCTATGGAGAATTTGTGGTTGCCATGGAGATAAGTATCTTTACAATATTTTTTGGTTTGCAAAGGTGTCTCAGATATATTTCCTTACTTTAAACTGTGTTTTTATACTCTCAGATAACAAATTATTAGATTAATAATGTTCACATTGTACGATTTTCCATTTTTATTTATCAAAACATCCATTTTTGTTGCTAGGCAACGGATTGGAATTTTCAAAAAACACACCATTTTGAATTTAAAGTCCAAAAGAGACATTCCTCTGCTTTTATGTGAAATACTTGCAACTCCTGTATTATGCCAGAAGTTTGAGTAATAAGGCTTTGAAAAGTACCAAAATCAACAAAAATGCTGAATCAGCAAAAAACACAAAACATGCATATCTACCCATGTCTAGTACAGATATATCTCAAAATCTTATTTCTCATTGTGAAAACACTTTAAATATTTATCTTTACGATAAGAATAAATAAGAAGAAATTATTAAATATTCACAATAAATTTCAAGCCCTAAAGTTTTTGTGATTTTTTTGTCCATACACATGGAAAATTGACTGGTTGCTAAGGAAATTTCTTTTGTCATGTTTCAATAGTAACCATGACCCAAAACTTTTTTCACTTTGCATACATTGATTGTAGCACAAGAGAAATCTATATGTTGAAAATCATCAAATTCTGAGAACCCTCATGATTCACTTTCAAACCTACTTTGCCTGATTCTTACAGAGACTTGCACTTAAGTTTCAAATGCTTTTTGGATCTTTGTCAATATTTATTTCCATAAAACCCCATTAAACATGAGCTCCTCATTACTTTACTGGTATGGTTGGCACTTAATGCTATAAAGTTAAATTTTTCTAGACTTGAAATGTAATATCTATTGTTATTTTCTTTTAGGATGAAGTTGCATATTCCATGCGACCTTTTGTGGTTTAATATGTATATTACTGATGAATTTAATATATTTAATAAATAATTTTAAATAAAAGATTTACAAAGTGACTTTTGCAATTATTCTTGTTTTCGTTCAAAGTACATCGTTTTAAAACAATAATTATATCATAATCTAACTTCATTTACTATTTTTATAGAGAACAAAGCTATTGCGTACAAAATAAAATGATATAAAGGTGAAAACTTATTTTTCTTTTGATTTCCTAATTGAAAATTGACACAAATGTGCCTCTGTAGTAAAATCCGACTTTTGACCAGGTTAAAAAAAGATCATCGTTTTTATTGGTTTGCATTATTTGATTGGTTGCCCAGATAATCGAAATAGAAAGTAAAGAACATGATTGACAGGTGCAGCATCGTTGGAGAAGGTGGGAATTTTCTTTTTAAGTAAAAACGGAGAAACGTTGCACTTGTTTACATACATGATGTTTTTTGTCAAATTTTGAACGACTCTGCGCAAAAAATTACACGTTGAATTTCCGATTTTTTTCACTCAGAACACCGATAAATATCTATATTTTATTCCACATGGTTTAAAATTATGCACCATTCCACGCCATTCTGTGGAATTGAACACAACCTTTTTTTCTCCCAATGGTCAGTAAAATTCGTCTCCGATATGGGAGATTGTCCAACAAACGGGGTATAAATGACCATGTGCCCAACCTGACCATGACGCTGTACTAAAATTAGCATCACACAGATTCCCCGCGACTTACCATCCATTAACTTTATTTTGGCTATTGATGTCCACACCTGATGATTCTATTAAAGCCTTGACTGACTCTAAATCGCCTATACATGCTGCTTCTCTGAGCTGCTCCTCAGAATCAGTTGAATTGTCCATTTTCACATGCACATGCAGGAAACGGTCATCAGCTCCATAATTGCCGGAATCATCAAAACGCTCTTAAATATTCCGGTTACGTAAATTAAAAAAAAAGCAATTGAAATAAAAATGTCTTGTCTCAGAGTAGGGGATTGTCCTATAGGCCTACTGTATAAAAGAAAAATAAAGCTAATTATCAGTTAATTATCGGCCGCAGCTGCGGGACCCAGCGGCAACTGATCTATATGTATGGCACTCTCTACCAATCGCATCATCTCGGGCCTTTCCGTCAGAGGTCGGAAAAACATCCCGAGTCGGAAAGGCCCGGGAAGCATTGTGTTAAAACGAAAACTCTATCCGGACATCATTGAAAACAATGGATATAGAAAAGAAAACGACATTTTCGTATACTTATGCCCTGTTCATACGGAGAGTTAAATTCGAATTAAACGTAAGTTACTGCGAATTAAACTCTCCGAGTGAACAGGGCATTATATTGCACAGGTACTTGACGTTTTAAACCTTAATTAAGCTTTCTCTTTATAGTATGGGGATATTTTTATCAATAAAGAGAAAGGTTTAAAATGTCAAGTTATATTGGAAAAAATAATAATAATGAGGGGATACCCTACGGCTTTCCATAGTAATCCAATCCCTTCCTAAGGGCATGTATCGTACTTCTTTGAAATGAATATCTGATATATGATATATATTCAAATAATTAAATATAACTCACAGGAACTGTAATAATTATTTTTTACCTCATTATTCATGTTATTATAATAATAACACAAGGCATCGAACTCCAAAATTTTAAAAAGAAAAGTACCCCCTCCTTTCCACTGAAGAGTTGCAGTCATTAACGCTTTCAGAGAAAACACAATGGAAAGCTGTTGAACAATATACTCTTCTGCATTTTTTTTCCTTCAAAAACTATACACGACGTTTGTCTTTATTTTCTTTTTTTTCCCCGTAAATAGCGTTCAATCATTGTTTGCTGGAAAATTCGTTCACACAACGAAGTGCTTTTCATTCATTCATCTATCTTTTATTTCCTCTATAAAGAGATTTGAGCTCGAGGTAGAACAAAGAAGCTCATTTTAAAAATGATATACATATTATATATCATTAATACAAACAAAAGGGAAAATAAAGTGTCAAATATAATGTACAATATCGCTCACAATTGTCCATGCAACAAATTTACATGTGCGAGTACGTCGCACATAACCTTTGGTACTGCGCGCAAGCACAAACTATAATAATTTTAAATTCAGTTTTTTGAAGTCTCTCTCTTGAGGTTCATTTAGAAGTGTTTCAGGTTTCCGCCCTAGGAGTCCAATGAGAAAAAGATCTTTCTCACAGAAACCACAAACTTCTGCTCCAAGCCTGATGTCAAAGAAGTTAAAATGGTTAACAATCGAGTTCTACCATTCGTTGTGACTACCAGACAGCTAGGGCACCACAGTCCCTGAAAGAGTTGTTTACAGACAGTGTCGTCATATAGAGAAAGACACAAGTGTGCACGCCGAAGCACTTGAAAATTTTGTGAATACAATAAGTTTGCAGGCAAATTTCAGTTTTTTTTAAATATCACTGGTGATTTCTGCGTAAGACCAGATGTCACATGGTTCGCTGTATTTGGATTTTTATTGACTAAAAGGCTGTTCTAAAATTACATCGGGAAATAATTTTAGTAGATAATTTATGGAAAATAAAAAGTAAAAACATTACATTTATTAATTGCAAAACTTAAACATCGAGATTGAATTTTTAACCCACTTATTTATAATTTTGCTTTCTGTCCGAGACTAGTACACGTACTTAGAACTTGATGGTCTGAAATTTGACCAGTTTTCAAATCAGTGAGCAAAGTTTGGAGGTTGTTTACGCATATATGATGTAGAAGGCAATGAAAGAAAGCATGGATTTGTAGATAAATTATCATAGAAGAGAATAGTAATAAACAATTTCGTTACAATTGCGTTATCTCTGAAGACCGTATAATCACTGGCGGACTTAGAGGCGGCGTGAGAGGCGCACGCCCCCACCCCCTAAAATTTCCAAAAATTAGCTTACATGTGCATACATATAAAGGAAAAACTTTCATGATATTAAAAACGTATTAAAATACGTTGAAATAGAATAATTTATAAAACACATTTTGAACTCTTGCAAAAGCAGCATTACATGGATTTTACTTTTCAAGCAATCAAAATCATCGGAGAAATGATTTCCTTAATCATGCATCCATTTCCACAATCTGCCATCAGTTTTTGATACCAAAAATTCTTAAGACAATAACCTACTATGGAGATGTCAATTTAGTATCAGAAGTTCTTTTAACCTCGGAAAGTGAAACAAAATCATTCGCTCAAATATTGCATGTGTTGCTCTCTTATGACCCTACGTTTAATTTTTAGCTCTACTGGTCAGAGACCAGAAGAGCTTATGCGATAGTCAGGTGTCTGTCGTCCGTCTGTCTGTAAACAATTTTTCAAAATGCTACTCCTCCTACAGCTTTCGTCTGATTTCAGTATAACTTGGCACACAAGTAGACTACACTTAATTCTTTATACATGTACCAGTTTTGGATTTCAATGAACAGTGTTGCCATGGTTACTAAAAATAGAAATTTCTGTGAAATACTTTCAAAATGCTACTCCTCCTACACTTTTTGTCTGATTTCAGTATAACTTGGCACACAAGTAGACTACACTGAGATACAGAATTGTCGTTATTGTTTTTCGATTTTGTTTAATGATGTCGCCATGGTTACTTAAATCCAAATTTCTGTAAAATTGTTTTAAAAGGCTACTCCTCCTACAGTTTTAGTCTGATTGAAATAAATCTTCCCACAAAAAGAGACTAAACCAAGGATCATTATTCTATTTATTGCTGTTGAAAAGTTTCAAGTCCAAGTGCTACTTTTATCTTCCTTTATAAGTACAACCAGTAGAGCTACAGTTTCGTCAGAGACTTCTAGTTTTTATGGCGATCTGTGTAGCTAATTGTAAGCAGTTTAGTTTGAACGTTTTACATTATAAGATATCATGAGTAAGAAGAAAAGAAGTATTTAAATGTGCGATTAAAATGACACTCATAATTTAAAAAAAAATAATATTAAAGTTTCACAGTTTGTGAAATTTAAAGATACTGAAAATAATTTATGACACTGTATTATTTTCATTGTCTTCGTCATTTGCACAGTCAATCTGACTCAGAAACCACGCATTTTTTTTGCCAATGTTTCCTAAAATTATTTGAAAGTCTATTGATTGCTAAAAAAATGATGCATTGAGGCAAGAAATGTAATAACGCACGACGAAAAGGAGGGGGGGGGGCATGATGAAAGAGGGCTTGTGTGACATGATGAAAGACGGGGGTTTAATTAAATACAAGATATATAAGAAGATGGGCTTAATTCACAGCTCAGTAATGAGCAAGCAAGTTTGACTAGAAGGAAATTCTCTGATGAGAAATTTTGCATAATGATTATCGATACTAAAATGGGTTTGTGTTAGGAGGAGGTGTAACTATAATGAAGACTAATTGCAAGGTTAAATTTCGTTAGTTTCGTAAAGTTAGTTGATAGTGATCACCCGATTGAAAATGTCTGGTCGCCCCCTCCCCCATATAAAGTGAAATTGCTTCCTACGGGCCTGTAATCCATGATGTTATTAGGAGGTATGGCTTTCTGGGTAGAAGGTACGTGGGGAGGAGGACGGCGATTTTCAGTTTCTAATGCCTGGAAAGCATAATTTTGAACTCTCGCAGGTTGAATTCTAAGTATAATTTGTTATCTCCTAAAATTTATACTGAATTTATTTAATGAAATCACTCTCTAGTCGGGCCCGTAGGAAGCAATTTCAGTTGAAGGGGGGGCACAACCATACATTTTCAGTTGGGGGCACTATCAACTCCCAAAAATACCTTGACACGCAAAAAAAGTCATCAGACGTTATTATTGAAGGACACAAGCATATGGTAGCTATTTCTATAATATTCTATATCGGCAAAATTATCCCCCCCCCCCCCCCCCAGGTTCCTACGGCCATGCTAGTTTGTTGGATATGCCAGGGCATTAACGACATTAATTTGCATAATGGGCGACGGCTGTTATGCATAAATTATCCCACGTTTCTAGCTGCCGTTAATGTCCTTGGCATACCCAACAAACTGGACAGTGATTCTTTATATTAACATTTATATATGAAATAAAAAATGTAAATAACATATATATGAATTTAAAAAATGCTAATAGACATGAAATCACACGAGGCATACCATGTCAATTTCCATAGTCCATTTCCACTGACGTCAGACAAAAGCCGCAAGAATTTGACATGCATATTAGACTCTTGAACAAATCAACACACTTAACTTTCAAAAAGTTATTACAGAGAAAACAGTTGGAAATGTAAATTTATAACGGTATGAAATTGAAGTTACAGAAAGTTCGAAAAATCTCTGTTTTGCATAATGGCTGACTAAACAATGTTTCGGAAATTTTTTCAGTTGTCAATTTGTTTTCTTTATTTGTACACAGAAGATGGCTCCGTGAATGCTCGAGTTCGTGGAGCTTGAGCACAAGAATGCAGAAACAATTAGCAATGTTATTTACATTACTGACTGTGAATTTGATCTTGGAAGTTTGCGGGACCAGGGCTATATATATGTATATAAATGATGGATGCTCTTCAATGGTTAAAGAAATACCAGGTTATGAATGAGTATCTTGATGCATTTGTATTCTGTACATTGCAGTTCCTACAGGCTAAAACTTAGAACTGCAATGCAGTACCTGAAGCAAGAAATACTGTGAATATGATGACCAAACTAATACATATCTGGTTTCTGTGGTGTGAGCAAGCGAAAAGCATTCTGTATTTACTCTGGTTGATTATCGGGCGCAGCAGCGGCCGATCTATTTGTGGTCGTGTTAGAAAGTGCACATGGGGAAATGAGATGATATTTCTTTATTAGTTCAGTAAAATAACTTTTTAATGATTACATGTATAAAATCATAGTGAAATATTTTAAAAACT